ATGCTTGAGTTATAAATATCCAAGTTTTGTGATTAAATTGATATTAAACTTGTAGTTTTGTGATGTTTTATGATATTTTACCTTAAAAATGTAGTTTTGTGATAAAATTAGTGTTAAATCTGTCGAAACAAATTTTCGGCAATATGAAAAGGGGGTAGCGCACGAGACCTAAAAGTGGATAGATGCAGAGACAAAGGATTTAGACAGGTTCAGGCCCTCTCGATGAGAGGTAATACCCTACTCCTGTTTGGGGATTTGAATCCGCCGGGTGTATATTGATCTGACGATCAGTTTGTGTCATGCCCCCTAGAGGGCCTCCTGCCCACCTTATATAGGGTGGGGGCAAGATTATAAGATAGAAACCTTAACCAATACGGTATCGGTTTCCTAAATTTACTTTACAATATTATCAAACCAGGACTTTAGGCCGTTCCGTAATATACAAGGAAACGTAATACCCAAGTCATGATCTGTTACATATTCTATAGATATAAGTTATCCCCTATAGCCAATCGGATAACCATGCCGTGTGGGTATGGAGTACCCATAATCTCCACAGTAGCCCCTGAGACCTTCACAGTCGGAAATATAATCTTCTCTTGAACTAGATTACTCCAAAGCCGAGTGCTTCAATCATCTTCGCCATGATCTCCCGAGTACTTTTACCAAATATGAAGACTGTGGAGGGCTGAAAAATAAAGTCAGGTGCATCGAATAGATGTACCTAATAGATGCACCAACTGAGTGGTTTTGATAATTGTAGTCAACCAAGTGACTTAATATTAATATATAACATATGCGGTGTGAATCCCTGAATAACATGATCCGAGTGATATACCGACTGCTTTGTAAAATATGATGCGTGCAACCTAAAGCTGACTTCATCATTGAAAATTCACATAGCAAAACAGCTACAAAGAAGCTTGTATGTTGTGAATAAAGAAATTTTCAAAGTATTGGGCATACGCCATGCGCATACTGCTTTAACAGATGTGCTTAAGTCCCTAAAAGACACATGGTTTCACCACAACCGGAAATATACGACATATGTGGTGTAAAATCCGAGTAAATAAACTCATAAAGGATTTACCAACCACTTGGAAAATGACCAAAATATATAATCAGCCTAAGCCATAATATTGGTCAATAAAAGTGCACACTTACGTGGCCAAAAAGCAACGATATTGTATCCAATCAATTGCTTTATGAACCCAAACAACGCCTTGACTTATATAAGAAAGTCAGCGGGGAGCTATATAAAGCATTACTGTTTGGCACCTTTTAAGATGCATTGTACCAACTCCTAAAAAGTTGAGTAACTGCGGTATAAAAGGATTTTAAGGTATTGGGCACTAGATCACGCGCACTTTGGCCTAAGCAAAAAGTGCCTAAGTCCCTAAAAGAACGTGACAGGCCACACCTAAAAATATGGGCTGCAGACATATTAGGCCTAGGCCAAAAAATATGCCTTCGACACCCTTTAAAGGATGACACATGTAACATGCTCCAGAGTAATAAATCTTTCGGGTGATATAGACCAAGTGTAGCTCATATGAATAGCTTCTGATTTGAGTGATTATCCTTTATGGGATACTCCAAAATAGATATAACAATTGAATTCCTACTGGCGCAAGTATTCGGTTGATAACCCTTATAGGGAATAATAAATAGTCCAGTCTTTAAGCATAGAAAATAGACCCATGATCATCAAATTCATGTTGCATGTATCCGGAACAAGTCCAAATTGAAGGTATGTCCATTGATTGTAGCTGACGCAGTTGGCATAGAGACAAGACGACCAATATAGAGATAAAAGTGGCAAAAATATTGGTAGTAGTGAAGATAGTGATACCAATCAAAAGTGATGAAGTTGCATAGCCGTGAAGACGAAGAAACCAGTCGGCAACAGTCAGGTCAGCCAGCAATGAATATGAAGGCGCCCAGCGATAAAGTTGTGTAGCCATGGCAGCGAAATAATCAGTCGGTGACAGACGATGCAGCTGGTGAAGAAGATGAAGATGCCCATTAGTGGCGACATAATAAGCCATCCATGAAGGCGAGGATACCGGTCGGTGGTGACGAAAGCAAGCCGACGGTGAAGATGTAGACACGCATCAAAGGCGATGACGAAATCCACCAATCATGAAGATAAAGAAAATAGTCGGCGACGACAAACGCAACCGACAGTAATGATGATAAGCAGCAATCATAGATGATCAAATATAATGACGAAGTTGCCCATCAAACAGCAGTAGAATAGGGCTATGTTGAAAAGGCTTGACAGGATATTGATGAAGATGACGATGTCGGTGATCCCGTCAATAGCAGTGTAGCAACCGATGATAATGATGAAGACGCTCATCAGCGTTTGCAAAGTAGGTCAACCGTGAGGGCGAAATAACAAGTCGGCAATGACGGAAGCAACTGGAGGAGAAGACGTAGTCATCCATTAGCAACGGCAGAGATGTCAGGGCCGATGAGGTAGAGGTGCTGGTGATGAAGTCAATGACAATAATCCATCAAACTGTTGAGAAGATATCGAAGCTCGAATAATTTTCTTGATACGAGCGTGTGCATAATGAAGACTGATGCAACGCCTCTTGATTTATGAAGATGGCTGTAGAACTTGGTGCTATAGCTGTTGCAGATGCTTCACTTAGAGGAAAGTATATGCTGTTGGTCAACTCATTGAATCTGATCTGAGTTGATTGGTTGATGACTCCAAACTCCCAGACATGTAAATTAAATCTCAAACTTGAGAAATTTGGAGTAGATTGTGGCGGCATGAAGAAGCCAAAATTGCCAGTGTAATAATTGGAGTTCCTGAAATTAAATGTCGGCTCTGAAGCGAAGACGAAGATAATAACTCCCCGAGTTGACTCGTTGATTGATTGATTGCTTCATCTTGACATAAAGCTTGTCGAATTTTGAGAGTCTTGTATTTGTGTAGCCCCCGACTCTTTGGTTAGTTGAGAAACAACTGAACATAGAGTCGAGAACTGTAGCTTCTTGTCGTCGAGTAGTCATTGCTTGAGTGAATATACGCATAGAAGATGTCCGAGTAGAAATCTTGAATATTGGAACACCACTTGTTGTAGTAAAATAACATGGCATTATACTTGTTGACGCATGCCGAGATGTCAAGGCTCCTGTAGATGTCGTGGTCGACGAAGTAGCAAAGCTTGCGAAATAGAGTTTGCTAATGCCGAAGATAATAAAGATGAGGTTGCTCCACCATGGTGACAAAGTTGCATAGCCGTGATGAAGTGAACACGAGTCAGCGGCAACAGAAGCAAACCGGTAGTGAAGACGCGCAATTGTGAAGATAAAAGCACCAGTCGGCGGCGGCATAACCAGTCGGCGCCGGAAGACGATGATGTCCATCAGTAGTGGTAGCAGTCGGCAGCAGACGTAGGCAGCTTGTGTTGAAGATGCTGACGCCTATTAGTGGTGGCGGCGACGTGGCCAGCCGTGAAGACGATAGCACCAGTTGGCGTCATACGAGGTGGCCGGTCGGAGAAGATGTAGACGTCCTACAATGGAGGCATAATAGGCCAGCCGTGCAGGCGGAAACACCAGTCGGCGGCGGACAAGGGGGCCGGTCGGTGAAAACATAGTCGCGGCGACTTAAAGGCCAGCCGTGCAGGCGGAAACACCAATCGGCGGCGGACAAGGCGGCCGGTCGGTGAAGACGTAGACGCCCAACAACGGCGGCATAAAGGCCAGCCGTGCAGGCGGAAACACCAGTCGGCGGCGGACGAGGCGGCCGGTCGGTGAAGACGTAGACGCCCAACAACGGCGGCATAAAGGCCAGCCGTGCAGGCGGAAACACCAGTCGGCGGCGGACGAGGCGGCCGGTCGGTGAAGACGTAGACGCCCAACAACGGCGGCATAAAGGCCAGCCGTGCAGGCGGAAACACCAGTCGGCGGCGGACGAGGCGGCCGGTCGGTGAAGACGTGGACGCCCAACAGACGGCGGCATAATAGGCCAGCCCTGCAGGCGGAGACACCAGTCGGCGGCGGCGAAGGGAAGCCGATGGTGATGTTCTGATTGATCCATTCCTGAAGCGTAGGAAATAAGCTTAAAGCCATGAATCCCTTTTATGCATATCTGGATCTGGATCCTACAGAACAAACAGATAGGATGAGTAGTATCTGATGTAAATATAATACTCGAGAAAAATTCAAGCATTTTAAAATATTTATAAATATGTATTTCTCCTCTCGTCAATTTTGATTTCCCCGAGCAGATGACTCATTACGTTTAAACACTCTGCCCGACTAGTCATAGCCACTAAGCACCGGGAGTCGGCCTAAGCACTTCAAAAACATGCATATGAGTGACATGAGTTCGTCATTAATGGAACAAAGTTTTGCGGGTCGGAGTTTACTACTCAGGTACTTTTGCAATTATTAAGAGCAGAAAATAAATTATCTTATCTCTATGCTTTTGATTTATTCCGAATAATACTTAGCACCTTGCGTTATTCGGTCCATCTAACAAGCCCCCGGGTGCTAGGAATCGGCCCAAAGGCAACCATCGACAAACCAAACAGAAAGCATAGGAAGATGAAACTCCATAACTCGATAGGCACTTTTGTACTCAGATTATATCGCAAGCAATCAAGACAAATATTATAAAAAAATGTTTAAAAAATATGATATAACATCTGTAGCCCCCGACTCACTAGTTAACGGCGAACCAGTTAACATAGTGAGGCAGAGGAAAAAGGAAAATATCATATAAAAAATAAAATAATGATGACTTAGCTTTGCAATATTCCCCTTGGTGATAGCAGAGGTAGCCGATGTGGAGCTAAAGTCGTCCATCAATAACGACGAAAACACCGGCCATGGAAGCAGCCGAGGCGGCCGGCGGTGAGGTCGTAGACGCCCAAAAACAGCGGTGGTGAAGTCGTGGATGCCCATGAACGGTGTTGTGACCAACCAACTGTATAGGCGAGGACACCAGTCGGCGGCGACGGAGGCAAGCCGGCGGTGGAGTCGTTGTTGATATCAGCAATGGCGGTGGTGAGGACAAGTCGGCAGAGTGGACTCGCGGCCGATCGACCAGAAAGCTGAGACGCCTCGAGTCCATGTCCAACATCGTTCGCCTCAGTAGTGCCGCGTAGTTATATGCGAACAACAACAAAAAATAGCAAGAAATTAATCTGAGATTAGAAATCGATCTAAATATGGAAAATTATGAAACGGTCAGGAGATGTGCACTCAGGCCAATATTCGGCACGAATCCCGGCAAGAGCAATCAACAGGTGACATGCAAAAGGCAACGTGCACGCGTATGCTTTCTCGCTCGGCATGCAACATGGCCAAATCTCCTGTGTACTGAGTTGCAGGTAGCAACAAGCCAGCGACCGATCCAGGCCTACGAGCTTCAGCATGTCACGTGGTCGCCGAGTGGTTCCCGATGTAGGCGTGGATCCGAACTCGCATCGTGTGGGCTCGGATTTGCACTGGGAGGAGGCTGATATTGTTGCTCGGCAACGTCGACGATGCTGGTAACAAAAATAATACCCGAGTAGATCAATCTATAATTAAAAATTAATCTATTGAGAGTTAAATTGGAACGACAAACCCAATATCTCTTCGTAGATTGATTTGATCAGAAGATGATGCCAGCAGCGGTAGAATCCAGGCTGCTTGAACAAATATGATACCGGAGAAGTTGATTCCATCACACTTTTCGACGGGAAACTCGACTCACCCCTACCTGGCGCGCCAACTGTCGAAACAAATTTTCGGCAATATGAAAAGGGGGTAGCGCACGAGACCTAAAAGTGGATGGATAAAGAGACAAAGGATTTAAACAGGTTCAGGCCCTCTCGATGAGAGGTAATACCCTACTCCTGTTTGGGGATTTGAATCCGCCAGGTGTATATTGATCTGACGATCAGTTTGTGTCATGCCCCCTAGAGGACCTCCTACCCACCTTATATAGGGTGGGGGCAGGATTACAAGATTGAAACCTTAACCAATACGGTATCGGTTTCCTAAATCTACTTTACAATATTATCAAACCAGGACTTTAGGCCGTTCCGTAATATACAAGAAAACGTAATACCCAAGTCATGATCTGTTACATATTCTATAGATATAAGTTATCCCCTATAGCCAATCGGATAACCATGCCATGTGGATATGGGGTACCTATAATCTCCACAAAATCTATAGTTTTGAGATACGTCGTGTTAAATATATAGTTTTCTGATAATTTAACCGAAGTATACGTAGTTTTATGAAATTTGCTATAAAAGAATGACTCGAACTACTAGAAGCTAGCTGAGGCTGTTCTCGGGCAGGCACCCGGCAAATAATCACAAGAATCTCAAGTAGTCAAGTTTGATTAGGCTAGTATAGGAATTTTTTTTATTTATAATTTTTTTTATTAAAAGTTTTAAAAAATAATTTTCCATTTTGAAAATTGACGGAAGTAGTCGCCTACCGCCTCGCCCTCTCAGAGGGCGGTGAAAATGACGTGGCAGACGGCCGTTCGCTCTCGGGCGACGGCCGTCAACGAAATTTGCAGGCGGCCCCCTTGCCGCCCTCCGCTAGGGCGATTTTATACTGTGCGGGGGGCCGCCTGCAAATGGGCGGCGAGGGGGGGCATGGAATTTTGCAGGTGGCCCCCTTGCCGCCCTCCGCTAGGGCGATTTTGTACTGTGGGGGGGCCGCCTGCAAATGGACGGCGAGGGGGCATGGAATTTTGCAGGCGGCCCCCTTGTCGCCCTGGGGGAGGGCGATTTTTGCCTCTCCCCCTATAAAGCCCAGTCCCTCCTCTGTGAAATTTCATTATATTCACTAAAAATCCAAAAAAAACGAAAGAGAGAGAGGGGAGGGCAGCAGAAGGGGAGCGGCGAAGCCCTGCTGGTTCGCTCAATTCATCACAGGTATGCTCCCATACATCTTTTGCATTTGTACTAATATGTTATGTTTGAGTATATATGTTGCGTTTTAGTTTTAGTTCCATATATTTTAGCACATCTGTAGCACACAGCACATATGTGTAGATCCAGAGCATAGAATATGCCCCCTCGCCGCCCATTTGCAGGCGCCCCCCCGCACAGTACAAAATCGCCCTCGCGGAGGGCGGCAAGGGGGCCGCCTGCAAATTTCCATGCCCCCCTCGCCGCCCATTTGCAGGCGGCCCCCCGCACAGTACAAAATCGCCCTCGCGGAGGGCGGCAAGGGGGCCGCCTGCAAATTTCGTTGACGGCCGTCGCCCGAGAGCGAACGGCCGTCTGCCACGTCATTTTCGCCGCCCTCTGGGAGGGCGATTTTCCCAGAGGGCGGTAGGCGACTACTTCCGTCAATTTTCAAAATGGAAAATTATTTTTGTAAAACTTTTAATAAAAAAAATTAAAAATAAAAAAAATTCCTAGTATAGGCCTTATGGGCCTCGTCTGTTTATGTGGACATCAAGATGCGGGCCTGCTGGGCCTATACCAGAAGGTGTCTAAGTCCGGCCCGTGAGCCGGCACGTGTACCGTGTACGAGTACGTGACAACCAGATAATCTTGTGTTTTCCAGGTGATGGGCAGCATGTCTTCCCACCATTTTTTTTATTGAAAATAATTAAAATTGGCTACAACTACTGGTGAACGTCATCATTGGTACCTTACGTCCTTGTTGCCATGTCAGTGCGAAGCTCCAGAAGCCATTGCTATATTTTTTTTCTTAAAAAAAAATCACAAACCTATGCAAAATGTCAATCTTGTGTTTCTTTGCATGTTCTAGAGATACCATAAATAAATAGTACTAGTAATGTTTTATTTTCCTAATATTATAACACATTTATTTACCAGGATCAATAGATAAGGTGAGTGTAGCTTAACTGGTGAAGTCCGCTGTGATAGAATCAACCTATATATCCAGATTAAATCCTAGAGTTAACACATATGCTTGTATTTTAACTAATTATTCTTGTAGTGGTCGATGATGTACTCGTCAACATAGAGACCTATGGTGACTTCGTAAATTTCAAGATGTACAGATTCAGTCTTACGAAAATGCTCGTATAGATAGGTTGTGTGTGTGCAGTGTGTGTTTATAAGAGGTGAGTATGTACACGTTGTAAACATCTATAACTCTACATTTATATTGTGTTTTTTTAAAAGAAAAGATAATATTTCATCTCTATCATTATGCATTTATTTACACAGGTCAAAGAGAATATCAGGATCTCAGGACAGGTGGGGGTCAAGCCTCATCATCCGGTTTTCTTCCTTGGTTCCCGCACGAAACGCTTGCGCATCGGGCGTCGACGTGTCGGCCAGGTTCCAGCGTGGCAGCCGTCTATACGTGCGCGCACGTTGAGTCAGTCGTGCGCGCCACTACTACTGTATATCTGCTACCTCAACATTTTTCTCACCCACCGACCAGTGGGCCCCACCCCGTCCGAGTCAGCGGCAACGGCCGGCCCCGCGCGAAGCGCGCGCGCGCCAAAACCAAAAGAGAGACTCCTCGCCTCGCCTCGCCTCGCGTCGCGCATGGCGAGCCGAGACCCCGCCGCCGCCTTCGTCTCTTCTCCTCCCGTTTGCTCCCCCGCCACCAACGGCCGACCTTAACCCCGCGCCCGCGCCCAACCACCCCGACCGCGTTCCGGCGGTTGCTGCAACCTCCCCGCCGCCGCCGCCGCCGCCATTCCTCCCCCCGCCCGCCGGAACCACCGCCGCCGCGCCATGCCCATCTCCTCCTTGTTCTTCTTCTTCCTCCTCCTGCAGCAGGAGGACCCCTACTAGATTCTTCTTCTCCCTCTTTTGTCTTCTTTCTTGGTACGGCGGCGGAGGAGGAGCCGATGGGCAGCCTTTGCTCCAAGGACAGCGTCGCCGAGGAGCTCACGCCGCAGCCGCCGCCGGCTGCGGCAGCGGCGGCGGCGCCCGTGGGGAGGCTGCAGAAGACGGAGAGCCAGTCGTTGAAGCAGCTCATCACGCTCACCGCCAAGGAGGACGCCGCGGTGGTCGCCCCCGTCGTGCACGCCGTCATCACCCGGGCGGAGTCCAACGCCAAGGCCAAGTCCAACGCCAAGGCCAAGTCCGCCGCCGCCGTGCCGCCGGTCGTCGTGATCACGTCGCTCAACAAGTCGTACAGCACCGCGGGTGCGCCCGCACACCACCACCGGCTGTCGACCGTCGACGTCCCGCAGGTGGTCCCCGGCGGCGTGCCGCAGGGGTTCTCCGGCGAGCACGTGATCGCCGGGTGGCCGTCGTGGCTGACCTCCGTCGCCGGCGAGGTGGTGCAGGGGTGGCTGCCGCGGCGCGCCGACACGTTCGAGCGGCTGGACAAGATCGGGCAGGGCACGTACAGCAACGTGTACAAGGCCCGGGACCTGGAGACCGGCAAGGTCGTGGCGCTCAAGCGCGTCCGCTTCGTCAACATGGACCCGGAGAGCGTGCGGTTCATGGCGCGGGAGATCCACGTCCTCCGCCGCCTCGACGGCCACCCCAACGTCGTCCGCCTCGAGGGCATCGTCACGTCGCGCCTCTCCCACAGCCTCTACCTCGTCTTCGAGTACATGGACCACGACCTCGCCGGCCTCGCCGCCACGCCGGGGCTGCGCTTCACGGAGCCGCAGGTGAAGTGCCTCATGGCGCAGATCCTCGCCGGGCTGCGCCACTGCCACGACCGGGGCGTGCTCCACCGCGACATCAAGGGCGCCAACCTGCTGATCGGCGGCGACGGCGCGCTCAAGATCGCCGACTTTGGCCTCGCCACCTTCTTCGACGCCGCCAGGCCGCAGCCGCTCACCAGCCGCGTCGTCACGCTCTGGTACCGGCCGCCGGAGCTCCTCCTCGGCGCCACCGAGTACGGCGTCGCCGTCGACCTCTGGAGCACCGGCTGCATCCTCGCCGAGCTTCTCGCCGGCAAGCCCATCTTGCCCGGCCAAACCGAGGTAAATATATATATCATCTATCTATGGATGGATGAAATGGGATCGGGCATCTGATTCGGCGCCATTGCTGATCATCGACGCAGATCGAGCAGCTGCACAAGATCTTCAAGCTGTGCGGGTCGCCGTCGGAGGAGTACTGGGCGAAGGCGAAGCTGCCGGACGTGACGCTGTTCAAGCCGCAGCGGCCGTACCGGCGGAAGATCGCCGAGACGTTCAGGGACTTCTCGCCGCCGGCGCTCGACCTTCTCGACACGCTGCTCGCCATCGAGCCGTCCGACCGGGGCACCGCCGCCGCCGCCCTCGACAGCGACGTAAGCATGCACCCCCTTCTCCTCCCCTCCCTCTCCTCTCCTCGCTCGCATGGATCTCTGACACGTACTCGTGTCCTCTGCTGCTGCTCAGTTCTTCAGGAGCAAGCCGCTGGCGTGCGACCCGGCGAGCTTGCCCAAGCTGCCGCCGAGCAAGGAGTACGACGCCAAGCTCCGCGGCAAGGAGGCCGCCATGAGGCAAAACGCGACGGCGGCCATCGGAGGCAAGGGCTCCATGTCCGTCAAGCCGGGGAGGAACGAGCAGTCCAAGGCGGCGGCGCCGGCGCAGGACGCCGTTGGAGGAGATCACCAGGTACGTAGCTCTTTCATTCCGAATTCATCGTCTTCTTCCCCTCCGCCGGCGTCGTCGTCGTCGTCGTCAAATTTCTTTGTGGGTGCGTACGTGTGCAGAGGAGGCAGGCGGCGGCGGCGGCGCGCGTGGTGAACCCGAGGAGCGCGAGCCACCACTACAGCTCGCTGGAGGACAGCGTGCCGGGGTTCCGCATGGAGCCGCCGGCGGCCGCGGGGCCGCCGGCGGCGATGCAGAGCGGCGGGTTCGGGTCGACGTGGTACAGGAAGGACCACGCCGCCACCGGCGACCCGCGCGCCACCACGTCACGCGCGGCCAGCGCCTCCGTCAGGGTGTCCAACTCCGTCGCCGGCGGCGCGCAGCTCACGTCGCAGCGGTCGTACGCACATTCCCGCGGCACCGACCTCCACCCGAGCTCGTCGGCGGCGAGGCACGCCAACTCCCGCTACAACCGCCTCGACGTCGCCGAGCCCGCCAACGCGCTCGACCGGCCGGGCTCCAGCTCCACCCACCAAAAGGACCTCTCCGCCGCCGCTCCGGCCACCGTGAGTACCGTACCGTACCATCCACACCACCACCATTCTTACATTCTTGCCTGTTGCTGTCGCTGTTGCACCAGAGTAGTTTTCAAGGGGATGCTTACTTTTTTTTTTCATGTCGCTTAAAAAGTTATCAAAAATTTTGAAAAAAAAGAGTAAGATATATCAATATGTGATATATCACTTTATAAACATGCATGTTTAAATTTGACTCATACAAATAGAAAAGAAAAACAAATTTTTGTTTTGAATTGTATAAGTCAAAATTCAACTTGCATGTTTGTAGAAAGATATATCAAATATTGATTTATCTTGATAATTTTTTTTTAATTTTTTATGACTTTTGAAACATCATGCACAAATCGAGAGATATCTCCTCGAGCGACAAAAATCCACTTACTAATCAAATTCTTGCTAACATGGTGATGAACTCTAACGCCATTAGGGGTTCGGAGGGAGGAACAAGAGGATCCACTACTCCGGCCCGCTGGTGCCGCCGGGCGGCAACATGGAGGACATGCTCCGGGAGCACGAGCGGCAGATCCAGCAGGCGGTGCGCAAGGCGCGGGTCGACAAGGAGAGGACGAATCACCACGGCAACAGCAGCAGCAGTAACAACAACAGGCAATACTACTGAGCTACTTGCTGACTACTTTGGCTGGCTCACACAAAGCTAAAGGAAGAAGACGATCGATCGAGCTGGTGCCCATGGCCATGGAAGGTGCAGATCATCTTCCATGGCCATCTCAGACCACGGGCCTGACTGTCTGATGAGAAGATTGCAATGCAATGCAGGGAGATGATCTTCATGGATGGAGGAGAGTAGAAAGAAGACCTGATGAGGTGAAGATCTCTGATGGAGGGTGCAGGCAGGCAGACGGCGACAGCGACGGCGGCGCGGAACTCGGGGTATAGATATCTGCAATTGAAGAGCTGGGGGGCTTTTCTTGATCCATGTGTATAAATAGCACACTGTTAGAGAGGGTTTTGGGAAGTCTGATGAGGAGGAACAAGCCCTGTAAAAACACGGATTGTAAAAGGCCAAATGGAAAACTGTGTATATCTTGCTGATCGAAGTGATGCAACAGACTTCAATGACCTAGTTTGAAAAACAAGAAAAAGGGATCATCCATGGCCTATTTTTTTTCCCCATAAAATGGAACAAAATGCAGTAACATAGCGATACTATGTTCAGAAGCTTCTGAACATATGAGAAAGGATTGACAAGGAAAGGTAAGCAACCGTAGGGGAGAAAGAATTGGATTCAGCACAATACTGATGCATGACATGAACAATAAAATTCTTGTAAACTCTTTCAGACCTATCAGTTGGTAGCAATTGAGGATAACTTACTATGTACTGTTACCAAATCAATTTAATTTTATTGTGATTCCAAGTCAAGAGCTCTGAGGAATGGATTGCAATTTCTCGCTTAATTAAAACAAATGCAATACTCACAGAGGACTGAGAAAAGGGTAATCGGTGTACCCGATAACTGGATCAGAAGTGTAGAACGTCGATCTGTCATACTTGTTCAGAGGCGCATTCAGCTCAAACCGCCTAGGCAGATCCGGGTTTGCCAAGAACCATTTACCATATGCTACCAGGTCTGTGTAACCCTGAGACACTGCTCTATTGCCTTCTTCTCTGTTGTATCCTCCAGCGACGATGAAAGTGCCAGCAAACACTTTCCTGAAGTGCCATAGCTTGTAAGGAATCTGCACCTTGCCGTCTACTTTGACCACCTCAGGCTCAACCATGCTGCAGTAGAGAACGCCCAGCTTGCTCATGGCTTGGATCATGTAGAGGCCAAGTGCATCTGGGTCTGAGTCCCAACAGTCCAGGCAGTTTGAGTATGGCGAGAGACGGACACCTACTCTGTCCGATCCGATCTCATCGATGGCTGCTTGGATTACCTCTAGAGCAAAGCGGCAACGGTTTGCGATGCTTCCTCCGTACTTGTCAGTTCTGTCGTTGACACCATCTTTCATGAACTGTTCAATTAGGTACCCAAATGCGCAGTGGATTTCAACTCCGTCAAAGCCTATAATATCATGGATGTAACAAATTAAAACTTCTAGTTGGATGGTACCGTGAAGTTCATCAAAAGGTAAATTACTGCTAGCCAAAAGCAGTATTTGGACTCCAAATTCTTGCAAGTTACAACTATGATGGTACAATGCTACAGTTTAGCCAACAAAATATTGGGAATGGTTATATGAAGATGCATAGATTATGGAAGTACCTGCTTCAATGCAATTCCTAGCAGCAATTCGGAAATCATCAACAATTTGGGGGATCTCATCTTCTCTTAGCCTCCTTGGGGCAGAGAATTCCTCGACAGTTCCATCTTTGAGAACTGTAGGAGTGATTTTCTTGTCTGTACAAGGAATTGGTGTTTGTCCATTGGGCTGATAATCTGCAAATGTTGCTGTCAGAGGAACCTGACAATCACGCAAAATGCAACTCATATGAAAGTTTGACTGTTTTGCTTCACATAAAAACATTACAGACCTTGATAGACTAAACTCAGAGAAAGAAGCACCATGCCGTAGTTTGATTTTTTTTTTTTGTGGAAACAGAGGGAATGGCTTCATATAAAGAAACCAGAATTCAGCCATGTCAATTTGATATGTGGTGTTTGATGATACTGTGACCTCTGTAACGATCCGATTCTAGACTTATTTGAACAGTTGACACTATTTTCACATGCAAACAACCTGATATTCTAAATATTCCAATGTCCTATCCTACAAGATGAAATGCCACAACTGCTTTTGAAAGGATTAAAGTCAAGCAGGCTCAGAAAACTTCAGTTTATTGATCCCATATGAAATTTACCATTGCAATAACCAAGTTAAGAGTGAAATTCATCAAGCAACACGCATTCATAAAAATTTCAATATATCCAAACTTGTAGGAAGATAATGATATGGATAATAATACCATTGGTAGATGCCCTCCCTACATGCCAGATTTGGCAGAAGAAAACACCACCCTTCTGATGCACTGCATCCACAACCGTCCTCCAAGCTTCCACCTGCTCCTTTGTCCATATACCCGGTGTGTTTGGATACCCTTGAGCAGTCTCCGAGACCCCGGTGGCTTCAGCGATCAGAAGGCCGCCATTTGTGGCCCTCTGCGAGTAGTACAGCTGAACATGTTCTTGAGGAAGATTATTGTAGCACCTCGATCTGGTCAGCGGCGCATGGACAACCCTAAGACCAAGAGGAACACACACACACACACACACACACACACACAGAGAAATTTCTTGAGGTTAGCTAGCTCCAAACATCAAGATTCGCCCAGGCAGCCACCCTCCAGGCTCAGAGGCAATCCATCAAACACCTTGAGGGCACTAAACCTTAACAGCTGAAACCGCAGTGCAGTAGGCAGTAGCCAGACACTACCTTAACTATGAGGAAGAATTGTTATCTAGATAATCGATTGATCGATTAACGTCATCCAGTTCGAGGGCTGAAGAATCCTAGCAAGTAGGGAGCGATTGCTATTACAAAACCAAAGGCGATGGATGGACATATAGCAGCACATACCTGTGGGCGAGGTGGAATCTCCCCATGGTGTGAGGAGTAAGGAGGGGAATTTTCGCTTCCATGGGTAACAAACAGGGTACGGGAGCTGATTCCGGTCTTCTGCTCGAGTGGAGAAGAATCGAGAGGTGAGGGCAAGAACCGCTGACGTCATGTAGGCAGTGTGGGGAGGCTTTTTTGCGAATCATGCATTGCTGTGATTTGATTTGCACGACGAGTACACACCGAAAAATAAAAGAAAATAATCGTTGCAATGTACTATAGTACTCCATTTCCCTCCATTTCAGGATAGAAGTTTTGCTTTTGGTCAACTATTTTAAATTTAACTAACTCTATAGAAAAAATATAATATTTACAACAGCAGCATAGTTTCGTTAAATCAATAATTGAATAAATTTTTATAATATATTAGTCTTGAATTAAAAATATTACTACTTTTTTCTACCAAATTAATTAAACTAAGAAGTCAAAACGTTTAATAACCTGAAACGGAGGGAGTACTATATTACTAAGTACATATTACTATCCTCCTCTCAGTTTATTATAAGTCGTTTTGATTTTTTTTATCAAACTTATTTAAACTTGACTAAATTTATAGAAAAATTAAACAACATTTATAACATTTTATCAAATAAAACATTAAATATAATTTGACAATATATTTATTTTGTGTTAAAAATGTTGGTATATCATTTTTTCTAAATTTGACTAGACAAAATTAAAATAACTAATAATATGAAACGGGAGAAGACTTTGATTTTTTTTTCCAAACTTAAATAAGTATGATTAAATTTATAGAAAAATATAACAATATTATTATAGATATATTCAATCAATGTTAGGTCTAATAAAACTTAATTTGATATTATAAAAGTGGTTATATTCCTCTATAAACCTCATTAAATTAATACAAGTTTAAATCTCTACAACTTAAAAAATAAGATGTGCTTCCATCGTCCGTCAAAAAAATCGGACAAAAAAACCAGATTTATCCGTAAAAAAACCGGGCGGAAAAGAAGAAAAAAACCAAACTGTCCAATAAAAAAGGGCGACAAAACGAAAAACCGGCCTAAAAAACCAAATCTATCTGATCCAGAAAAAACCGGGGAAAAAAAACTAAACCTGTCCGATCAAAAAAAAAAAGAGGGGCGAAAAAAAAGAAAAAAATCGGATCTGAAACGAATAACCGGGCGGAAAAAAAAGAAAAAAACCAAACTGTCCAATAAAAAAGGGCGAAAAAATGAAAAACCGGCCTAAAAAACCAAATCTATCCGATCCAGAAAAAACCGGGGAAAAAAAACTAAACCTGTCCGATCCAAAAAAAAGAGGGGCGAAAAAAAAGAAAAAAAATCGGATCTGAAACGAATCCGACTCCGGGTAAAAAGAAAGACGAAAAAAAATTAAAAAAAAAAGAATTTGTCCGATTCTCTGTCTCTAAACGAAAAAAAATCCAACTCTATGTCCGATTCCCCCTTAAAAACGAAAAATAAAAGGCACCTCTCCTCCAGGCGGATTGGAGATCTGTTTGCAAAAACAGAACCTACATGTCGAGAGCATTCTATTTTTATATGATTTTAATTTTTGGGTATGTACTTTTGCATTTTGAGTCTCTGTAATTTTTATATTTACATTTAAGTCCCTACAATCTTGCAATAAGGTATTTGAGGTCGTTTTTATTAAAAAAAATTAATAATAAAAGAGAGATAACAAAGGCAGGAAAGTGCATAAAAAAAAAGAAAAACCACAAAAAATAAATGAAAAAAAAGAAAAAACAACAACAACAACAACAACAAAATGTCTGTTTCCCCTAAGTGGCCAAAAAAACCATAGACCCGAAAAAAAATATAAAGCTGGTTCGTATGAATTAAAAAATGCACGCGAGAAAAAAATAGAATGGGTGAAACAAAGTTAGAAATCAGTATATATCTGTTTTCTATCTCTAATCTAATCTAACTATTTAAAAAGAGAAAATGCATGAGAAAATAAAAACGGTTCAAAAAAAAGGCGTGAGAAAAAAGTCAGAAAAAAGCGCAAAAAAAACACTCTAAAAAGGTTTTCCATCTTCCATAAAAAAATAAGAAAAGTGCGAGAAAAGTTATTTCCATCGTCGGTAAACTTTTTTAAAAAAAAACATGCGAGGAAAAAATTGCTAGAAAAACGTGCCATTTCTAAAAAATGGTTTGAGAAAACCTCGCAAGAAAAAAAACACCGTCTATTAAAAAACAAATCGCTCTGAAAAAACTATCAGAAAACGCTAAATTGATGGACGCTTGTGTCGGATAGAATCCATCAAATTTTTGCCACCTACTACACGGCTTTTATTTCGTCATATATTCTCCTGTATTGGAAAAAAGAAAAAAGAACAATCAATTTGAAAACAATCATCCAAACAAAACTTGTAGCTGTTTTTTTCCCTTCATTAACTTGTACAGTAATGTGATCCAGGTAAAAACATAATCATCCAAACAGAACATAATGCAAGGAGATGATGATACTTTTTATTGTTATGCTCTACTATGATTATATTGAATTTTTTTTGCCTCACCGTACGCTTTTGAAAGGCTTCAAAAATCGGCCGGTCATGTTGGAAACTCAAGCAGTATAGACTTGTTTAAACAGTTTATCCCAATTTTCGCATGCCAACAAACATTCAATTCTGCACAATCCAACGGCCTATCCTGCAACAGTTCTGAACGATTGAAAGGCTCAGAAAACTTCAGTGAACCGGTCTGTATGAATTTTACTGATCACCATACGATAATTAGGTCCTGTTTGGGGGAACTTCTAGGTGCTGCAGCTTCTCCAAGAATCTTCAGCTCCCCCAAACAGTACAGATTGTCACTCAGATTATGAGAATCTATAGTTGTAGAATCCAAAAAATAAACTAGAACCTATAAGCTGGAAAACCCAGCTTCTCCAGATTCTTAGAAGCTGGCTACCAACCAGCAGATTCTTATAATCTTAAGTTCCCCCAAACAGGGCCTTAGCCAATTTAAGAGTGAGATCCATCGAGCATGGCACATGCATAACATTCTCAATACATCCAAACTATGATCAACTAATTAGTACTACCTCCGTTTTTTAATATATGACGTTGTTAACTTTTTGACAATCATTTGACCATTCGCCTTATCAAAATTTTTGTACAAATATTAAAAATATTTTAGTCATGCTTAAAGAACATTTGATAATAAATTAAGTCAAAATAAAATAAATGATAATTACATATATTTTTTTGAATAAGAAGAATGGTCAAATGTATCTCAAAAAGTCAGCGACGCCATATATTAAAAAAAAAGGATGGAGTATACCGTTTCTGGAGTTTTGAGACAATTTTGACCAGCAGCTATGGTTAGCAGCATTTCCAGGAAAGGAAGACTGGAAGAGGCACACAGCAGCAGAGAAGTATTTCACATTATTGGATTCATGTAAAGAGTTGTTATCTCAACAACAGATCACACAAGCACAGAACAATACTTGTATCTGTCTACAACTCTACAACCGGTTCAGAGCTTGAATTCTACAGAAGCATCATCCATGAACAATAGGGCAGCATAACCCAAGAATCCAAGATCAATAGAGAATTCAACAACTATTTAGCGCCGATCATTAGATGCCAATCGGCCAACTGTGCTCCTGAGTATTACTGTAGCATTTATAAGATCACATACAGAACCAAAAAAGGGAACACTTCTTTTCTTTCACAAGATTGAGGTCATATTGTCACGAACAAGGAGCATAAGCGTTAAAGAGCTCATTCCTGGTTTGTCTCTGCAATCTCCCTCTTGTAGGCAAGTAGCTGTTCTTTGAATTTCTTGCTCTCTTCGAAGTTAGCCTTCCTCTTCAAAGCTTTCTGAATTTCGTAAGTCCAAAATGCGGTATTCAGGAGAAGGATTTCATCTTAGAAAATCGCAAGTCGGTCATATGAATGAGTAAAAGAGGGCAAGCAGAGATAAGCTATAACCTCTTGTCGGAAACAGCGATCTAGCTTGATTTTAAGGTCTGTACACTCTCCGAAGAACTTCTTCACAGGGTGATCCAGATGGCACTTTTGGAACTCCTCGATAATCTGGAAGAACAAATTCTACAATTAGTTTTTGCCTACATAGTAACCACTAACCAGTTTCGAGAAAATTACACAAGGTACCTCAGCGCACATAGGATGCCTGTGCAATGTCAGAGGGGGATGCATTTCCAGAGATAGATGGAAAACTTAAACTGCAAAAATTGTCAAACGCATTAGTGGTGAAATGTCCCATAATTCTATATGCACCCAAATGGAATAAATACAGCAAAAGGCATTGCATTCATGACTTATACGCACGCTTATCAAGAAATTTCCATGGCACAACCATGGGCCTCTCTAATCAAGCTGAAAATCTCACAGCCACACGCCTCAAGCAAATTTCCCAGCTCCAGATGGCCGGTGACATACGGTTTTACAGTATAAATTAATGCCATCTGTTGCAGTGAACCATCTCATTAAACATCTGAAGAATCATTCTTCCCAACATGTCGACAGCTCTCTATTTGAAACAGAGAAGCATAAATCTCTCTACATAATTCACCTTAGATCAAATTGAATGGGCCCAAAAAAAATGTTTCTCCCCTTTTGGTGTGGCAGTGCTACGAAGCATTTGATTGATTGACTGCGCAACTAATGAGGAATCTACAAGTGATCTTTGAGATAGCACAAGCAAGATTACACAAGCAAAGGGAAATTATTTGCTCTTTTGCCCCAAGTACAGCGCACAGATCCGGACCTTAGCCGCAATCAGACATCCCTCAAGAACGACCAAATCACCTCAACTAGTCAACTCAAGTACTCAGCACGCACATATGCAATCACGCGCTGGAAACGAACCGGATTTCGGAGAGAGGGAGAAAAGAAAGAACCTACTACGCGTCGTCGATGTCGTCGGTGGCAGCGGCGGGCGGCGGGCGCGGCGGCGGCGATGGGGGTGGGCAGGAGGCGGTGGGGAGCGGAAGAGAAGAGTGAAGCGCTGTGGGGTTTGGCTCGTCTCTCGGCGTCCAAATTGTCCTCCGTTGGGGAAAAAAATGAAGGGTTTGTTTGGTTATTTACCCCACAAATTCATTGGTAATGCCAAATTCTAGATAAGCTTTAGCACTACCAAAATATTAGTAGAGTAAAATTATTTGGCTAACATTTGGATTGCTATTAATATAAAGTCAAATTATCATAATATAGTGAAGAAACTTATAGAATATAACCAAATAGGATAGGGGCACTACCAAATATTTGATCTCAATTCAAATTAACACATAAACTATTGCATTTACTAATAAATTGGTAGGGCATGTTTTTTTCAATCAAACCAAAACTGCCCGAAAATCCTGGCCCAGTTTATCCTGGCGGGGATTCTTGCACTTTCTTTTTGAACTCCCAGGCAAAATAACCTAACTTTTTTACACGGTTTTCTTTAAAATTTATAAATAGATGAATAAGGATTTTAAAAAATCAAACCTTCTCATCTTCATCTTCAGGTTTTTAATTTTATAGTTTTTAAAAATCACACCGGTCATCACTCATTACTTATTTGACGTGCTTTGTTTACTTCTCTGACCTGCCATGGTATCTTTTTATCCTCCTCAGGATTTTTAAAAATAAGATTAGAGTTTATTTCCTTATCGAATTATGTCTTTATAAATTTTAGAAATTTCATCAAAATGCTGTCACTATATTCATTCACGATCCTCCCGTTGCACTCCTCTTTATTATCATTTTAGGATTTTAAATATCAATGATCATTTTTTTCTTTTTATACTTTCTAGAAATTCTGCCGACCATCGCGACCTTACTCCTTCACGGTCTGCATGCCCCCCTTCTCTTACTCGTCGTTAGGATTCTAAAAATCGAATCTGATCATCATTAGAGTTTCGTTTTATAGTTTTTGATACCCATCAACCGCTGTGGATTTTTCACATTCTAAACCTTTCTGAAAACTTATTTTATAAATAAACCCTAAAAAACTTATTTAAAAAATAGACCATTTTCACTGCGCCAACGTTATTGGCACCGTGGTCCAATGGGTGTCATCCTCCTACCCTCTCCATGAAGGCTAAGTCACTAACGTGAAGGGAGACGACGCCAATGTAATTGCGCCGAAGACCTATATATTAAAAAATAAATAAAAAGTACATGTTTATAATAAATAGGCCCTATGTATAATAAAAATATATTCACAAATAGGCCCTTGGTGCAAATGGCGCTAGTGCCAAAGACCTATTTGTAAAAAAAAAAAATATTACAAATCGTTATTTTTTGAAAAAAGATTACATATAGGTCCTTGGCGCCAATAACATAGACGTTGTTCCCCTTCACAAAAGTGACTTAGCTTATCCGAGGAGGCTAGGGAAACGGCGTTGGCGCCGGAAAAGGGTCCTTTGTAAGGGGTATATTTGTAAAAAAGAAAATCAAAAATGACAAAAAGTGAAAAATCAAGTCAACCGCTACCATCATATATCTTTATTATTCGCCCAATGTCTTCCCCTCTCTTTATGTCATTTGCCGCTGGTATGTTCTAGATGAACTACTTTTAATATTTCTTTTTTATTCCATTTTTTCTATTATTTCTAAATTGTGTTTCCACTTGAACTCTCGTTTTTTAACTTCGGAATTTATTTTATTTTCTATTTATTTTATTTTATTTTTAAAATTTATTTTACTTTTATTTTTGAATTTTAATTAATTTTTCTAGTGCACATTTTAATTTTTCATGGATTTTTTAAATATTCCTTTCTTTATTTTAACTTTTAGTTATTTTATTAAATATTATTCATATAACACTTATCTTTATTTTTCAAATTTCTTATTTTTTTTATTTTATATTCCAAATTTTAATTGATTTTGTGTTGTGTTTTAGATGATCCTTCATTCAATATTCTTTTTTTATTCTAAATTTTAGTTATTCCTAAATTGTTTTTTTCGCATGAACTATCATTTTTATTTTTCCAATTTTGGAATTCATTTAGTTTTTATTTCAAATTTAATCTCGTACTATGTTATAGATCGACCTTTTTTCAATATTCCTTATTTTTATTCCGAATTTTGGTTATTTCTGAATTATATTCCTACCCCATTCATGTTTTGTCATCTAATAACAACAAAAAAAATAATAAAAAAATTCAACTAATATGGGCGGTCAAATGTTGAACACAAAAACCCACAACTTCACTTAAAATGGGATAGAAGGATAGTTTCTAGGTGGTTCAATGTGTGCACGAGACCTGTTGGCTAGCGCGTGGGCCATAAGACGGTAAGAGCACAGTGAGCAGCCACTATTTGGGACTATTTTATTTATATATTAATTTAGTTTTAAATTTAAAAAATTATATTACTTTTTTGAACATTGATAAAAAAATATACTCTTCTCGCCCTCTATTCGGACGAATTTTAAAAATTATTAGAGCGATTCATGTGATGTGGCAGTACGGGGTTCAGAAATATTTGCATTTAGGTCTAAATATAGTTTTTTTTTCTACACATAACACGTAGTATTGGTACGATTTGTAAAATTCTCATATGATGTCGGATGAAGTTAAAGTCTATATGACAATTGTAGAGCTCGACGTGATCTGTAATTTGTAGTTGATATCTTTTCCATTAAAATAATTTATGGGTCCAAATATTCCTTAGAATATCTCAGTTTTTTTTTGCAAATTATCAGATCTACATTTTTAATGACATCCTATGGAAACAATCTCTATATCAAAGTTGTAGATCTCGTTGAGATCTATAACTTTGTACTTGACCACTCATTCATCCAAAACTATTTAGAGTGTCAAATAATAAATAGTAATTTTCAGACTAGTGAAAACCAACGAGAGGGGGCTAAAGGAAAATATAAACATTTTTTGAAGAACACTATAAATATAAAATTAGTCATGCTTGTTTGACACTCTAAATAGTTTTTGGTCAACTTCTAAATAGTTTTTAGTCAACTACAAAGTTATAGATCATGTCGAACTATACAGTTTTGATATAGATTTTATCTTCATCGGAGGCCATTTCAAATGTATATCCGAGAATTTGTAAAAGTAGATCTGAGACATTCTAAGTAATATTTGGTCCCATAAATTATTTTGAATGGAAAAATTATGAACTACAAAGTTGTAGATATCGTCGAGCTCTACAATTTTTATATAAACTTTAACTTTATCTAATATCATATGAGAATTTTACAAATCGTGCAAGTACTATGTGTTATGTGTTGCTCTAAATTTTACATTTAGAGGGTGAGAAGGACCTAAATGCAAATATTTCTGAACCCCGTGCTGCCACGTCACATAAATCGCTCTCTATTAGAGCAATTTTTAAAAATCATATATTTTTGTTAATGTTAAAAACAGTAATATAATTTTATAAGTTACAAAATACAAAATATATAAATAAAAAATTCCCGTATTTGGTGCTCTATCTCGTTTCTCGTAGTATGTCTGCCCCCCACCACCAAATCTTTCTTTCTGCGCATCTAGGAATGCAAGTGAATGAATCCAATCCCATTCCCTATGCGAGGTAATACCTTATTGAAGTAGGGTGTGCTACGATAACACTGGACTGATACGGTGGGGGCAGGAGTAATGGCTGGCAGCGGCATTCACTCTATTGCTCTATGTGTATTATCCGTCCCATTTTAAGTGTAATTGTGAGTTTAGATATCCAACGTTTGACAATCTGTGTTATTTAAAAAATTTATAAAAAATAAGTCGCGCATAAAATATTGTTTATATTTTATCATCTAATAACAATAAAAATACTAATCATAAAAAATTTCAATAAAACGGACGATCAAACGTTGGGCACAGAAACCCACGAATGGGACGGAGAAAATACTTTTTCCATGTCTTTCTTCATCTTCTCCATAAGGACATGGAAAGTAAGCACGGAGTAGTAGAAGACATTTTTCCTCTGATTTTGAGCTTGGCAATATTGTTATAGTTGTACAGTGCACTACAATTGTCCGTGCATGGATATATTTTTCCTGACGAGCACGGACAATTTCTAGTGAGCAAAGTCTCGGAGCACAAGGTGGATAGAAATAACGTAACTATTATGGCCCTGTTTAGTTATAGGGGTGAAAAATTTTGGCGTGCCACATCAAATATACAGACACATTTTTTGTCAGGGTTATGGATACCACATACTTAATAGTAGTTGACTAAATCTCGGCAGTACCCACCACATACCATATTTTATACGGAAACAACCTTCGGATATAGGAGAAGTTCCGGATAAGGAAAGACAACTAGAGTTCTACATAGAAACGACAAGGACTACTCGCATTGTATCCATATTGGTTTCCATAGTTCTACTTGGACAAGGGGACACGACACCTATGGGTATAAATACAAAGCCCCTAAGAGAAGAGGGGACACGAAGCAACATACAAGCCAACATACGCCAAGACAAGACGCTAGATATCGACTTCAGAGATAAACATGGCTAGTCCCCTACGGTGCCTACGGATACCGTCAGGAGAGATATAGCACTGTCTTTTGATCTCGCCGGATGCGGATTCGAGAAGGAAGACTACCCTGTTGTCGACTACGTGTCAACACTTCAGACCGCCAAGTCGACAACAGTTAGATAAACTACCCCAAATATTGTACTGGTGTGATTATTGGATTCGAGAAGGAAGACTACCCTGTTGTCGACTACGTGTCAACACTTCAGACCGCCAAGTCGACAACAGTTAGATAGACTACCCCAAATATTGTACTGGTGTGATTATGGTAAATAAGAGCAACGACCGGCTTCGGCCAACAGGATGTAGGGCTATTACCGGTAAGATAAGGGGTCCGAACCTATATAAAAATCATCGTCCCCATCTTTTTTACTACAATCTTGCATATACCCTGGTACCAACGATCCCATACTATGCAAATACCGGAATCACGACATCAAACATCGGCACATTTAAAGTATTAAACACAGACTAATAACAAAATAAATTACAGATTTAGTTCCCAAAACAAAATCTTTTCACCCATCACATCGAATATTTGAACATATGCATGGAGTATTAAATGTCGGAAAAAAACCAATTTCACAGTTCGTGTAAATTGCGAGACGAATCTTTTAAGCCTAATTGCGCCATGATTTGACAATGTGGTGCTACAATAAACATTTGCTAATGACAGATTAATTATGCTTAATAAATTCGTCTCGCGGTTTTCTAACAGAATCTGTAATTTGTTTAGTTATTAGATTACTTTTAATACTCCAAATATCTGTCCGTATATTCGATGTGACACCCCAAAACAAAATTTTTCGCCATCTAAACCGGGCCACCGATCACACAATCCCTGCAATTTTGTCAACTCCTCTCGATCACACAATCCTCCTCTGACGTACGTCGTACTTGCACTACGGAGCCGAAATCCCAATTCGATCGCCGTACGCATGTACGTATACATGCGCGTACACCCTGGCTAGTCATTGCGGATGATGGATCAGGGTCATGCCACGCCAAACGACGAGACGTAACTGCCGTACGTTGTGCATGCATATGTGTGCATCCTCCTAGATCGACGACCCAGTCCTATGCTTGCCAGCTAATTAAGCAAGCTAAAAGTACGAATTACCCTTCTAAATTATTATGGTCGACCAAATTACCCCGCTGAACTCGAAAACCAAACATTACTCGCACTAAACTTTCAATACCGAATGAATTACCTCTCTCGATCTAATCCAGAACGGTTTTGTCCTGCATGTGTGCGTGTGACAATTCAATCGGCATTTTCTTTTAAAAATATTAGAGGGACAGACATGTCATACCTACTCTTCACATGTTCCTAATTAATCTCTCTCTCGCGGCGCAGGTGCGCATGGCGGCGTGCAGAGGCGGGCGATGGGCACATCGAATTTAAATCCTAGACTTAACATAAGTACTCGCATTTATGGTTAGCAAGACACTCGTAGTGACTTCATTAATTTTAAAATATGATAGTTTAGTGTTGTTTCATATATGCTCATAGAGTAGGGTATGCATGTGTGTCCATATGAAGGAATTTACGAGTTGAGTGTGCATGTGTTTATACTGTGTTTAAATATTTTTTAAAAGAATATAACATTTAATTTACTTATTGTATCCTCGAATAATTATCGCACTACGTACAACCATTGAAATCACACCCTGAGACGGTGCTCTTTTGAGTGGTTCGGAATTTTTTTTCTTCTGCACGAATGAAAATCCTTACTAAAACGAGATATTAGAAGTTACGATCGAAAGTGTAACGAGATAAGTCAATTTGCAAACGGTGCTACACTGCCGTTTTGCCGCTTTGCCCTGTGTCAAAGAGGGAAAATACTCCGTGAAAGAACGGAAGAAATTAGTAATGCGATCCACGATTTGTCCTATCCACCGTCGTCGAGGCGGCTAGTTCTAGTATAGCTAGCGACGTTAGAGTGGCATGACGTTTCTCATCGTGAGAGATGATCGGTACTGCAGTAGTATTATACTATCAATATTATTAAAAATAAATTAATAATATCATAATTAATTATGAGTAACTATTATTTATATTTTTCCCGGTTAAATTAGTAGTTCATTATTCATTACACTGGCACAGTTCAAATTCCATGAAAAAAATAAAAAAGAAGAAAAAAAGTTTATTCACTATTAAATTTAAACGACTTAGTCACTACTAAATGACGATTATATTCCTCCGCACTTTTTTTTTGCAATAATGCTCTTTTATTTTTCTACTACCGCTAACTGGGGTAATATTATAAATAAATCTGAACCATTCGATCAAATAAGATGAATAATTCAGATTACTTTCTACTACCACTAGAATAAGATGAACGATTCAGGCTACTTTCTACTAATTACAAAACACCATATTGGGGCTCATCGTGAGCACAATTTCGTGTAGAACCTATGAGTCGAGTAAATATTATATATTTATTTATTTATTTATTTGTCACTGGCCTAGTGGCCTCTCCGGCTATCGCACTACTAGCAGCCACAGCCATATATAGCTCGCAAAGAAGAAATCCAGTGGCTGTGTACATGTTCCGTGGCTAACTGACGACCAAACCACTGCCTTACTGTCTTACTCCCTTCCTCGTCGATGGATGTCGTCAAGAAGGCGGCGGCGGCGGCGGAAGAGGAGGAGGTCCACGGCGTGGTCATCGTCGGCGGCGGCCTCTGCGGCCTCGCCACCGCGCTCGCCCTCCACCGGTACGCCGTCGTTTCATACTTGTTCTGGAATTAATTAACTCTGAACACGCCGTATATATAGAAATAAATTGTGTATCTGCTGTTAATTGGATGCAGCAAAGGGATGGGGAGCCTCGTGGTGGAGAGGTCGGAGGCGCTGCGTGTCGGCGGCGTGGCGCTCAACGTCCACGCCAACGGGTGGCGCGCCCTCGAGGAGCTCGGCCTCGCCGACGGCCTCCGGAAAACCGCCAACCTCATCACCTCGTAAGCATAAATCGATCACTTCTTACGGTGGCCTCTATGGCGAGGACGGTGCAATTCATCTGTGTGTGTCGTTTCTTCTTCGCTGGGGCTTTTATTTCTTAGGGTTCGCATGGTGCGGCAGATCCAGGGCAAGAACCAGACCACCGTCTCATCTCCCAGGTGACGCGTGATCATCGATCAGTTCTGCCATACCATCGATCAGTTTATTACTAGTTCCATTTTGTTGTTTTTTTATATTAAAAAAAACTGGCTTATCAGTTACTCCTATGCGAGATGTAGGAAGGAGATCCGATGCTTGAGAAGGAAGGACGTGATGGAGGCACTGGCCAAGAGCGTCCCCGCGCACACGATCCGCTACGGCTGCCGCATCGTGGCCGTCGATGAAGACCCCGGCACCGACTGTACCGTCCTCACCATGGCCGACGACAGCACCATCAAGGCCAAGGTCAACAAATGCTACTAGCTCTGTCCTAAAATATACTTCTTCCGTCTTAAAATATAAGCATTTTAAGATCCTGACACAGTTTTTGAGATACTACTTTGACAAACAATATTTATAAAAGTAAGATGTTTTAAATAAAAAAGAGTTACATATTATGATAATTTGTTTAATGATAAATCTAGCAACATTAATTTTATATGATTGATCTTTTTTTTCTATTAATGGTCAAAGTTAAAAATGTTTGATTTATCATTGTACTAAAAATATTTATATTTTGGGATGGAGGAAATAGTAACTTACTCTATTTATATTCGTGGTAATAGAATGTGTATATATTTTAAAACGATCCATCATCGGTCGATTAATTAGAAGTGGATTAATAAGTGTGATTAATCGATTCTATGAGTTAATAATGGAGGACTTTTACGGTACATTCTACTGCTAGTATATACTATCAGTATATTTGATCTAATGGTGTAAATTCATCTGATCTTCCTCCCAAATATCTTGCAGTATAAATTGTTTAGGGTATATTTATCTTTTTATCTATTTGCGTGGGGGGGGGGTAATTTTTTAAATTCGCGTTTCCTCATTTGGTCAGATCCGATCGATAGCTGCCCACCCAGTCGAAGCCCTTTTTTTTTCTCGATGCTGCGCGCATGGGCAATCGTCGCCGCTAATTTCTTCTGCGAGCTGCCGACGACCACAATCGGTGCCGCCGCGCCGCCGTTCTTTCTTAATTAAGTTCAATGAATTAAGGACTTGGTATGTGTTAGGGATTCAGACACTTAGAAACTGATCGAATCAAGAATGTATGAGATAATCCACTTCATTGCTGTGAACAGATCAAATCTATTTACATTATTATGTGGTTTTATCCCTGACCAGTTTTTTCCCTAGTGTTCTTATGCAAATCATGCCCATTGCAAACTCAATCTACTAGATTAAATCCAATCGTCGAAGGAATCGCTACGCCTCCACTCACGCCATCGCCACGCACGATGGGAGCGCTACAACGCCCGGACGACGAGATCCAGGAACTCCCGATTGAATTTAATCACAAGAAATAAATCTCAATTTCAAATTATTAAACAACCCTTTTAAGAGTTTTAACAAATACCAAATCTACCCTTTCACATACTGCTAATACCAAATCTATCCTTTCACATACTGCTAGTATCAAATCTACCCTTTCACATACTGCTAGTATATACTAGCAGTAGAATGTACCGTAAAAAGTCCTCTAATAATGTTATACAGGTGGTGATTGGTTGCGACGGGTGGAACTCGGTGGTGGCCAGGTACGTGGGGCTAGGCGCGCCGTCGCAGCTCCCTCGTTTCATCGTCCTCGGCTTCGCGAGCTACCCAGAGGGGCACCCGTTTGGGACCGAGTTCTCGCAAATCATAGCGGATGATTTTGCCGTCGGACGGGTGCCCATTAACGAAAATCTGTTGCATTTCTTCGTAAGCAGGAGTCCCTCACCAGGTATAATTAATTAACCTATGGTTTAATAATGGCATTGGCAGGTAATTTAATTTTAAGCATTAATTAATTTATAAAGTACACATGTGTCCTGTAATATTTTGATTCGGATTTACGGTTCCTTGATAGTCGACGTTTTGATAAAGATGAAGTCAAACTTTTTAAAAAATTTAACTATTAATAACTTTTAAAAATATTTAGTTTGATGATACTAAAGCAAACATATATAAATTTATCAAACAAAGTACTGTAATAAAAATAAAAATTTGTTTATTTATTTATTGTATATTACTTTCTCCGTTTCACAATGTAAGTCATCCTAACATTTTCCACATTCATATTGATGCTAATGAATATATATATATATATAATGGATTCATTAACATTAATATAAATATGGAAAATGCTATAATGTCTTACATTGTGAAATGGAGGGAGTACAATAGAAAAATATGGTAAAAGATAGGAGTAATATCACTGTCCAAAATTAAGAATTACGGAGATGAGTGACTAATTAATTAACTTTGTCAAGAACGTGTTTATCGATCCAGGACGTACGGACGTTGATGAGGACGCGGCGAGGAAGTACGTGCTGGAGAAGGTCGACGAGCTCCCCGGCGAGGTCGCCGACATGGTGCGTCGGTGCGACGCGGCGTCGAGCTGGACGCTGACGAAGGTGTGGTACCGGCCGCCGTGGCAGGTGGCGCTCGCCGGGTTCCGGCGCGGCGCGGTGACGGTCGCCGGCGACGCGATGCACGCCATGGGGCCCTTCATCGGCCAGGGCGGCTCCGCGGGGCTGGAGGACGCCGTCGTGCTCGCCCGCTCGCTGTCGTCGGCGGCGGCCGGCGATGGCCGGGCGCCGCCGCGTCAGCAGCTGCGCGACGACGCCGTCGGCGCGGCGATAGACGAGTACGTCGCGGAGAGGCGGCGGAGGGCGACGACGCTGTGCCTGCACAGCTTCGCCATCGGGACGTTGCTGACGACGAGGTGGCTCGCCGTGAAGCTCGCGTGCGTCGCCGTCCTGGCGCTCCTCGGCGGCGACTCGCGCCGTGATGCGGACTACGACTGCGGCCGCCTCTAGCGGACCATCCGTTTCGTTTATTCGCGAAACAAGTCAAACGATATATTTATAAACTAAAAGTAATTTGTTTTTATATACGTGTTCTTAACGATCAAAAAGCAAATGCTGAAAATAAACTTCGATGAAGAAATCTCAAAACCAGCTTTAAATTTAATGTTGCAAATTCAAAATTTAGGTTACACACAAGGAAAAAAAAGCACTATGACGAGAATAGCATCTATAAACACACCTTGTTAATTTAGTAATTAGCTCCTCTGGGTGGTTAATCAGTGAGTATCATGTTGATTGTTGAGGTAGGAGTGCAACAGTGAGTATCAGTACTTATTAGTATGCAATAAATCCGATGATAATCTTGTTTCAAAAGCTGAACAAAAGGCTGTGGACATCACTTTGATTTAGGAAGTCCCCGTTCCCACCCCCACCCCCCGCGTTGCCCACGCGCTAGCAACACGGGGGGTGAAAACCCTAGCAGCGCCGCCACCTTCCCTCTCCCCCCTCCCCCACCTCATCGCCGTTGGAAAGCCGGCGAGCGAGCTATGATGGTGGCGGCGGGGCTTCCTCCATGGCGGCGACCACTATCAGGCGCGGGAGAGGCGGCGAACGGCGGCGGCCCATCCTGGCGAGGAGACGGTGGATTCGGCGCTGCCTTCGCCGGATCTGGCCATCCCTTGGCTCAGGGGCGGAACTGGGCCTAGGGCAGCTTGGGCCCGGGCCCTACTCATAGCAAAATCGTTAGTGAATTAATACCCATATATTTCTCAAATTTTTACAAATCCTCATGGTCCAGCCCTACTCGTCTGGCCTAGCCCCACATGGCCTTTCCCAGGCCCCAGGTGTCCCAGTCTTCCCAGCCCAGTAGACAGCCCAGTAGAAAAGCCAACCCTAGTCCCCACCTCCTCAGCTCCTCTCGTCTTGCTCTCGGCTCTCCCCATCACGCAGACGCAGCAGCGCCGCCGCATCCCGCTTGTCCTCGATTCCTCGGCATCAGCGCTGCGCATCGGGGCGGAAGGGAGCGGCGCACCCGTGCCACAGCGGCGCGAATCGATGGAAGGAGGCAGCGCGCATAGGAGGCGTGTCTCGGCAGCGGCGCGCGCATTGGCGTCGAGCCGGCGACGGGCCGACGGCAGCGGGCTAGCAGCGCTTCCGTAGTTCCCCTTTCTCATCCACCTCGCCTCAAAGCTTGGTTCACCAAATCTAGGTCAATGTCCTCTCTAATCTTTGATGTTCGATCTGCATCCAACATCCTTATTCTTCTTTTGATAGCAATTAGTCTCAATTAGAAATTGGTTTGATTTTTTAGATGAAGAGGAATAGAACTTTAAAATCATTCTACCAAGTCCCAATCCAGTGAGTCCACTTCAACCCAGAAACATGAGAAACAATTTGTAACTTGCATCATTTCAGCAATGAAATATTTAATTTGGTACTTGATGAAATTATTGTTGAGTTAAACAATCGCTTTGCTGAAAGGTCTACTCGGCTATTAAGATGCATTGCTTGTCTTGATCCAAGGAATTCTTTTACCAATTATGATGAAGATAAGGTCATTGAACTTGCTAAGATATATGTGGCTAACTTTTTAAATATTATTGTATAGTGCTTAGAGATCAACTTGACACATTTAGTTCAACTTGACATATTTAGTTTAATCTTGTTTTTTTCTATACTTTTACTGTACTTCGTTGTATGATTAGAAATTGTATTTCAGTCTTGCATTTTTTTTCAACTTCGTTGTATGATTAGAAATTGTATTTCAGTCTTGCATTTTTTTTCAACAGTGTATGCATTGTATGGTCCTCATGGATAGTTTTAGCCTTTAATTTGAGCCCTAGGCGTGTAGAGATCCTGGCTCCGCCACTGCCTTGGCTAGATCCGGCCGGAGCGTGGGAGCTGGCGGCGGCGACAGCGCGGCGTTGGCAGCAGAGGCCGCCGCGGCATGGCGGGGTGCGAGGCCAGCGCGGTGGCATAACAAGGGTAGCGGCTACGACGCGATGACACGCCAGCAACGGCGTGATGAGGCGGCGGCGACGATGCGATGACACGCCGGCGACGGCGCTTGCACTGCTGCTGGCGGCGCCCGCCGCGGCAAGGCGGTCGGCCACTGCAGAGGACGGCAAGGCGTAGTGGTGGGAGCCCCTGGTGCCCGACGGTGGTCGGCCGTTGGGGACGACGGCGACGGCGTCGGTGGCAGCCGCGGCAACACCCGTGGTGGTAGCAGCAGTGGTTGACGGTGCGGAGGCAGAGCTCGTCGCAGCGGCGATTGCAAGCACGGAGCTCGTCGTGGCGGTCGCGTCAGCGGCTGGCAGGCGACAGCAGGTGGCTGGACGACGGTAGCAGCGGCTGTTGTAGCGATTGTGGTTGCGGTGGGAGGATGCACTGTGGTGGCGATCGTGGCTGAGGTGGGAGGAGGCATGGTGTCCTCGGACGGCTAGCCGAGGGCGTGGAAGACGGCTGCATCTGGCCGGCGCGGCAGCGTTTGGAGGAGGGTCGAAGATTGGCTTGGCGCGGCAGCGTTTGGAGGAGGGTCGAAGATTGGCTTGGCGCAGAGAGAAGCAGCTGATGGCAGCGGAGGCTGGCTCGACGCGAGATGGCGCGGGCGGCGGAAATGGAGGACGGCTTGGCGCGAGAGGCGCATCAGGTGGAGGAGGCTAGCTTGGCATGAGAAGCGCGGCCGGCGGTGGAGGAGGCGACCTCGGTGCGAGGAGAAGTTGCCAGTGGGTGTGGCGCGGCCTACAGCACACGAATGCTGGTCGGCAGGGGGCGCCGGTGCAAGGGTCCCACATGTCGTCAGAGGTTGAGTGGTGGTGGAGCATCGGTGCATCAGCCGTGGATTCGCAGGTGGTGAGCGGTGGGTGAAAACCCAGCCCGGCCTTGGCCGAACTGACAAGGATGGTTAATTCCTCCTTCTGAGGGCGTTGTCATGCTCTCACCCCTAAAGGTTGGTTGCCGGGCGAAAGCCAAGTCTTGGCTCCTTTGAGCCCCGACGGACGGTGGCGGCGGTTTTCCGTCGCTTCTCTTCTTGAAGATTTCGTTATGGCATCCCCTAGCTATGGGGCGATCTCGTCTGTGTTCCTTTGTTGGTCTAGCGGCGATCGGTCACGCTTAGCGGCGGCCGGTCCGGTGCTAGCCTTCTCCCGGATTTGTGTGTTGGCGCTGTCGGTGTGTGGGTGGTGGTATATTTTTTCCTTTTTTCCGGATTACAACCCTCCACAGGGTTGTAATCTTGTAATTTTTCCTGCTCAATCAAAATTAACTTTGCAGCGTCTCATGCTAGGCGTTCAAAAAAAAAAAACGTTGAAGGTTGAGGAGGCCATCGGTGTGAGGGTGTCCAGTGTTATCCCAGGAGTGGCCCAAATAGCTGGGCCATCAGTGTCCTTGTAGGCTTCAATTCTTGTAGGCCTTCCTTTGTTCGTGGGCCTATTTTGGAGTGGGCTGTAGCTGTCCGTGTAGGGAGTGAGTGGGCAGAAATCTGATAGTCAAGATTTGGCTGAAATTCATATTCGGCTCACAATTCATGGAACATACGGAGAGGGATGCTTCTCACTGCCATCCATACATTTCTCTTTGCTACTTGACTGATGAACAAATAATTTCTACTTAAATGTTTCTAATCTTAAAAATGAAATTGATATTTTCTAAAATCGTAGGAATTAATGGCGATTCCAGTTCGGTTCTACCGATATGTACAGGGAGATCGCCTTATAATACTTGACGACCTCGCCGCCGTCAATTCCGGACATGCGCGGCGGCGGTTCTTGCACCGGCCTCGGCCTCCGGTGGCCGTGCCGGCGTTGCCGCCTCCACGGCGCGGATGGCGACGGTGACGCTGACACCGTGCTCGACGTCGCCGTCGTCGTTGTCTCCTCCGGTGGCGCAGGAGCATGACGACGTCGACCCCGCCGCCCCTTGCCGCCCGAAGCTCCAGAGCCTTCTCAGTGACCTCAGCCGCGCCAAGCTCGGCGACGACCTCGCCGCCGCGTCGCGCGGGGTCGTCGAAGCCGCGGATTCGGGGATCTCGATCACCAGCGTGCTGCGGCCCTCCGCTGTCATGGTCACCGCGCCGGCGCCATGGTCGGACAGGCCGAGCAGGACGCTCGCCGGGAGGCTCACGGTGTAGCTCGCCGGCGGCTCCGGCGGGACGGGAGGAAGAGGCGGCGGCGGCACGACGACGGTGAGGCGGCAGAGCGGGCAGGTGGAGTGGGAGCCGAGCCACATGTCGACGCACTCGGCGTGGAAGCCGTGGCCGCACCGGGGGAGGAACCTGGCCTCCTCGCCGTCCTCGAGCTCCGCGAGGCACACCGCGCACTCGACGCCGTCGTCGTCCTCCTCCTCCTCCTCCTTCGCCGCCGCCGCCGCCGTGCTGCGGCTGTACACCGTGACCGGCAGCGACCGGAGCACCTCCGGGTCGACCCCTCCTCCCGTTCCACCGTCCCCGCCGCTCCCAGAGCGCCGCCGCGGCCGCGGCCGCCGCCCGCGCCCGCTCGTCGACGTCGTCGTCACGGCGCGGCGCCGCTCGTCGCAGTAGCACTGGAGCAGGACGAAGGCGAGCGTGAGCGCCGCGAAGACGATGAGCACGGCCGCCACGGTGGCGATGCCGCCGGCCGTCATGGCTGCCTGCCCTGCAGGCGCGGACACCGGCGACGGCGACGACGACGACGAAGACTCGTCCATGGCGGGGCCGCCCTGCTCGACACCCCGCACCATAATAATCGACCGTCACATGCATATGTGACCGCGCGCACTCGAGCTCGCGTCGCATATTTATACACACACACACATAGCGGAGTAGTAGGCTAGAGTGGTAGATGGAATGAGACGCGGTGAGATGCGAGCGCAAGCAGAGGCTTCCTGGAAGGGGGATGCGCGCCTGCGGGGCTTGGGCGGCAAGTACTTGTGTTGGTGTTTGCTAGCGCGCGCGCATTCGTCTTCGTCCTCGTCTTCCAAACGAGCTATCAACGTCGTCCGCTGTTGATGTTGATGCAGGCAAAGTGGTGTTTGTGCGTGGGCAACTTCCATTTGGTTTGGGTACCACTACTACAGAACCCAAATAGATGTGCTGGTTCATAACAAACCGGCCCTAATTATTAATTATAAGAACCGGTTACGCGTATAAACCGGCACCGATATGTGCCGGTTATTTTAAAAAAACAATATACACCAACCGGTTCTATTTATTAAAAAAACCAGGGCAACTATATTCATCCGGCCGCGCACTTCAGTACCTGTGAATCCTCCTATATGTGCTTGTTTATTTGAAAAAAATGGTACCTATAGTTCTAAAACCCACACCTATACTAATAGGGATTGGTACCTATAAATTGGTTCCGGCTGAGAAACCGACACCTATAGTCAACTAGCACCAATATGAATTTCTCCAGCAGTGTATGGTGAGATCGAGTTAAATCAGTTTTGGATCAACGGATGCAATGTCCTCTACTCCTCTCGTTCATTTGCATATCGTTTAAATAGTATGAAAAGAAATAAGATATATTAATATGTGATATATCATTTTAGGAACATATAACTTAGAAAAATATGATTGTGAGTACATATATACTGGTTAAAGTTAGGTTTTGTTGTTCTAAACTTTAACATGTATGTTTGTCTAGTGGGTATATCACATATCAATATATCTTGTTAATCTTTTTAAGAACTTTTTTTTAAAAAATGGGACTATATAGTGCATGTGCACTAATTAGGGCAAACTAGTTGTCATCCTGACTAAATGATGGAATTAACATGTAGCTATTTTATTTAAAGCTTAGGTGGTAGGAATATATTTTCTACTTATTTGCTAGATGAACTAGTACAAATTAGATTTTTCTGAACATCACATTTGCAGACAACATCAAATGACCTGCACTAATTAGATTACATATTTAATTTCAAACTACTCTCTTCATCCAAAAATAAGTTTATTTTTTACTTACTCCACACATAACAATACAAAAGCTAATCCTATTCACTTTATCAAATCCTAAATATTATTGTAATTGTTTTTTCACTTTATCTACTTCCAATATCGTATATATCCTCTACTTTTACAAATTCTAGTACAACGATTGCTTAAAGATAAACTCATTTCGGAACGGATGTGGCATTATTTCGATGATACGCAATATGGAGCAAAACATCCCCGGCTATAATCCACACTTCCGATGGCAATATGAGCAGTTTTTAAGTTTTTCTTTTGGACTGATTGGGACCGGACCGCCGCGGGTAACGACCGAAGAAGAGCAGAAAACAGCAGGTGGCCGCGCGCATGCAGACAAACTCCAGCCTCCAGGTTACCAAGATGACGCTTAAAACACGCACGAGGAAGCCATGCGTGAGGCAGCAGGAACGCCCGGGCTTCGTCGCGAGCTCGCCCAGTCCAGCTGCCGACACGGACATCTGCGGTCAAAAGGACAAATTAACTTAGACACGTGAAGTACTTCCTCCATCTTAAAATGTATCTACCTAGTACTTTCTCTGTTTTATATTATAAGACTTTCTAGCATTGCTGACATTCATATGTATGTTAATAAATCTAACATATATGTGTGTTTAGATTCATTAATATCTATATAAATATAGGCAATGCTAGAAAATCTTATAAACTAAAACGGAGGTAGTACTAGATATGTATCTACCTAGTACTACGAATCTGAACAGCCTCCTATCCAAATTTGTATTACTAGATAATGTCACATCTAGTACTTAGATAGTTATATCTTGAGACGGAGGTAGTAATAATTAAGGCAAAATCTAAATCAAGAGGCCTCTCGTTTTAGTGCTAACGAGAGACCCTATTTGCCTTAGTACTAGTTCCCATTAAGTAAGTAGAAAATATAATCCTATCACCTATGTTTCAAATAAAATTTTCTCTTAAACTACTCATCCGATTTATGATTCGATTACACGGTTGTGTTCGTAAAAATTAAATCTTTACAACAAGATCTCACATGATTATATTTTGATGAAAAACTACAAATTACTTTTATGGTATATCTAAATTACTTTTAGATTTCACTAAATTACTTCTTACACATATAAAAATAATTTTAGTAGAGCTTAAAAGTAATTTACATATATTATAGAAGTAACTTAAGACAAAAAAGAAAGTAACTTTGTCATGACATTAAAAGTAGATCCGTTATGGAGGTAAAAACGTGAGTCTATCTAAAAATTAAATTTAATCAGCACAAATTATAGAATTGACTAAAAAGGATAATAGAATAAACAACTCACAACATTATGATTGTATAATAAGTAATTTAATCAAATCGAAAAGTAATTTATATATATATGATAAAAGTAACTTACATATATAATAAAATTAATTTACAATATAGATATTTCTTTTATCAAAATATAGTCATGTAAGATCTTGTTGTAAAGATTTAATTGAAACGAACACAATGGTGTAATCGGATTAAAAATCGGATAAATAATTTAAAAGAAAAATCTATAAGAAGAAAAAAAATGTATCATTTGGTGTACTAGTATGCAACCAGGTCTAAGATGAGTCTCTGGTTAAGACAATATAGAGTGCGGTCTCTATCTAGTCATGTCCAATAATTAACTGTAATACCAAATACCAAATCTACCCTTTCACATACTGCTAATACCAAATCTATCCTTTCACATACTGCTAGTATCAAATCTACCCTTTCACATACTGCTAGTATATACTAGCAGTAGAATGTACCGTAAAAAGTCCTCTAATAATGTTATACAGGTGGTGATTGGTTGCGACGGGTGGAACTCGGTGGTGGCCAGGTACGTGGGGCTAGGCGCGCCGTCGCAGCTCCCTCGTTTCATCGTCCTCGGCTTCGCGAGCTACCCAGAGGGGCACCCGTTTGGGACCGAGTTCTCGCAAATCATAGCGGATGATTTTGCCGTCGGACGGGTGCCCATTAACGAAAATCTGTTGCATTTCTTCGTAAGCAGGAGTCCCTCACCAGGTATAATTAATTAACCTATGGTTTAATAATGGCATTGGCAGGTAATTTAATTTTAAGCATTAATTAATTTATAAAGTACACATGTGTCCTGTAATATTTTGATTCGGATTTACGGTTCCTTGATAGTCGACGTTTTGATAAAGATGAAGTCAAACTTTTTAAAAAATTTAACTATTAATAACTTTTAAAAATATTTAGTTTGATGATACTAAAGCAAACATATATAAATTTATCAAACAAAGTACTGTAATAAAAATAAAAATTTGTTTATTTATTTATTGTATATTACTTTCTCCGTTTCACAATGTAAGTCATCCTAACATTTTCCACATTCATATTGATGCTAATGAATATATATATATATATATAATGGATTCATTAACATTAATATAAATATGGAAAATGCTATAATGTCTTACATTGTGAAATGGAGGGAGTACAATAGAAAAATATGGTAAAAGATAGGAGTAATATCACTGTCCAAAATTAAGAATTACGGAGATGAGTGACTAATTAATTAACTTTGTCAAGAACGTGTTTATCGATCCAGGACGTACGGACGTTGATGAGGACGCGGCGAGGAAGTACGTGCTGGAGAAGGTCGACGAGCTCCCCGGCGAGGTCGCCGACATGGTGCGTCGGTGCGACGCGGCGTCGAGCTGGACGCTGACGAAGGTGTGGTACCGGCCGCCGTGGCAGGTGGCGCTCGCCGGGTTCCGGCGCGGCGCGGTGACGGTCGCCGGCGACGCGATGCACGCCATGGGGCCCTTCATCGGCCAGGGCGGCTCCGCGGGGCTGGAGGACGCCGTCGTGCTCGCCCGCTCGCTGTCGTCGGCGGCGGCCGGCGATGGCCGGGCGCCGCCGCGTCAGCAGCTGCGCGACGACGCCGTCGGCGCGGCGATAGACGAGTACGTCGCGGAGAGGCGGCGGAGGGCGACGACGCTGTGCCTGCACAGCTTCGCCATCGGGACGTTGCTGACGACGAGGTGGCTCGCCGTGAAGCTCGCGTGCGTCGCCGTCCTGGCGCTCCTCGGCGGCGACTCGCGCCGTGATGCGGACTACGACTGCGGCCGCCTCTAGCGGACCATCCGTTTCGTTTATTCGCGAAACAAGTCAAACGATATATTTATAAACTAAAAGTAATTTGTTTTTATATACGTGTTCTTAACGATCAAAAAGCAAATGCTGAAAATAAACTTCGATGAAGAAATCTCAAAACCAGCTTTAAATTTAATGTTGCAAATTCAAAATTTAGGTTACACACAAGGAAAAAAAAGCACTATGACGAGAATAGCATCTATAAACACACCTTGTTAATTTAGTAATTAGCTCCTCTGGGTGGTTAATCAGTGAGTATCATGTTGATTGTTGAGGTAGGAGTGCAACAGTGAGTATCAGTACTTATTAGTATGCAATAAATCCGATGATAATCTTGTTTCAAAAGCTGAACAAAAGGCTGTGGACATCACTTTGATTTAGGAAGTCCCCGTTCCCACCCCCACCCCCCGCGTTGCCCACGCGCTAGCAACACGGGGGGTGAAAACCCTAGCAGCGCCGCCACCTTCCCTCTCCCCCCTCCCCCACCTCATCGCCGTTGGAAAGCCGGCGAGCGAGCTATGATGGTGGCGGCGGGGCTTCCTCCATGGCGGCGACCACTATCAGGCGCGGGAGAGGCGGCGAACGGCGGCGGCCCATCCTGGCGAGGAGACGGTGGATTCGGCGCTGCCTTCGCCGGATCTGGCCATCCCTTGGCTCAGGGGCGGAACTGGGCCTAGGGCAGCTTGGGCCCGGGCCCTACTCATAGCAAAATCGTTAGTGAATTAATACCCATATATTTCTCAAATTTTTACAAATCCTCATGGTCCAGCCCTACTCGTCTGGCCTAGCCCCACATGGCCTTTCCCAGGCCCCAGGTGTCCCAGTCTTCCCAGCCCAGTAGACAGCCCAGTAGAAAAGCCAACCCTAGTCCCCACCTCCTCAGCTCCTCTCGTCTTGCTCTCGGCTCTCCCCATCACGCAGACGCAGCAGCGCCGCCGCATCCCGCTTGTCCTCGATTCCTCGGCATCAGCGCTGCGCATCGGGGCGGAAGGGAGCGGCGCACCCGTGCCACAGCGGCGCGAATCGATGGAAGGAGGCAGCGCGCATAGGAGGCGTGTCTCGGCAGCGGCGCGCGCATTGGCGTCGAGCCGGCGACGGGCCGACGGCAGCGGGCTAGCAGCGCTTCCGTAGTTCCCCTTTCTCATCCACCTCGCCTCAAAGCTTGGTTCACCAAATCTAGGTCAATGTCCTCTCTAATCTTTGATGTTCGATCTGCATCCAACATCCTTATTCTTCTTTTGATAGCAATTAGTCTCAATTAGAAATTGGTTTGATTTTTTAGATGAAGAGGAATAGAACTTTAAAATCATTCTACCAAGTCCCAATCCAGTGAGTCCACTTCAACCCAGAAACATGAGAAACAATTTGTAACTTGCATCATTTCAGCAATGAAATATTTAATTTGGTACTTGATGAAATTATTGTTGAGTTAAACAATCGCTTTGCTGAAAGGTCTACTCGGCTATTAAGATGCATTGCTTGTCTTGATCCAAGGAATTCTTTTACCAATTATGATGAAGATAAGGTCATTGAACTTGCTAAGATATATGTGGCTAACTTTTTAAATATTATTGTATAGTGCTTAGAGATCAACTTGACACATTTAGTTCAACTTGACATATTTAGTTTAATCTTGTTTTTTTCTATACTTTTACTGTACTTCGTTGTATGATTAGAAATTGTATTTCAGTCTTGCATTTTTTTTCAACTTCGTTGTATGATTAGAAATTGTATTTCAGTCTTGCATTTTTTTTCAACAGTGTATGCATTGTATGGTCCTCATGGATAGTTTTAGCCTTTAATTTGAGCCCTAGGCGTGTAGAGATCCTGGCTCCGCCACTGCCTTGGCTAGATCCGGCCGGAGCGTGGGAGCTGGCGGCGGCGACAGCGCGGCGTTGGCAGCAGAGGCCGCCGCGGCATGGCGGGGTGCGAGGCCAGCGCGGTGGCATAACAAGGGTAGCGGCTACGACGCGATGACACGCCAGCAACGGCGTGATGAGGCGGCGGCGACGATGCGATGACACGCCGGCGACGGCGCTTGCACTGCTGCTGGCGGCGCCCGCCGCGGCAAGGCGGTCGGCCACTGCAGAGGACGGCAAGGCGTAGTGGTGGGAGCCCCTGGTGCCCGACGGTGGTCGGCCGTTGGGGACGACGGCGACGGCGTCGGTGGCAGCCGCGGCAACACCCGTGGTGGTAGCAGCAGTGGTTGACGGTGCGGAGGCAGAGCTCGTCGCAGCGGCGATTGCAAGCACGGAGCTCGTCGTGGCGGTCGCGTCAGCGGCTGGCAGGCGACAGCAGGTGGCTGGACGACGGTAGCAGCGGCTGTTGTAGCGATTGTGGTTGCGGTGGGAGGATGCACTGTGGTGGCGATCGTGGCTGAGGTGGGAGGAGGCATGGTGTCCTCGGACGGCTAGCCGAGGGCGTGGAAGACGGCTGCATCTGGCCGGCGCGGCAGCGTTTGGAGGAGGGTCGAAGATTGGCTTGGCGCGGCAGCGTTTGGAGGAGGGTCGAAGATTGGCTTGGCGCAGAGAGAAGCAGCTGATGGCAGCGGAGGCTGGCTCGACGCGAGATGGCGCGGGCGGCGGAAATGGAGGACGGCTTGGCGCGAGAGGCGCATCAGGTGGAGGAGGCTAGCTTGGCATGAGAAGCGCGGCCGGCGGTGGAGGAGGCGACCTCGGTGCGAGGAGAAGTTGCCAGTGGGTGTGGCGCGGCCTACAGCACACGAATGCTGGTCGGCAGGGGGCGCCGGTGCAAGGGTCCCACATGTCGTCAGAGGTTGAGTGGTGGTGGAGCATCGGTGCATCAGCCGTGGATTCGCAGGTGGTGAGCGGTGGGTGAAAACCCAGCCCGGCCTTGGCCGAACTGACAAGGATGGTTAATTCCTCCTTCTGAGGGCGTTGTCATGCTCTCACCCCTAAAGGTTGGTTGCCGGGCGAAAGCCAAGTCTTGGCTCCTTTGAGCCCCGACGGACGGTGGCGGCGGTTTTCCGTCGCTTCTCTTCTTGAAGATTTCGTTATGGCATCCCCTAGCTATGGGGCGATCTCGTCTGTGTTCCTTTGTTGGTCTAGCGGCGATCGGTCACGCTTAGCGGCGGCCGGTCCGGTGCTAGCCTTCTCCCGGATTTGTGTGTTGGCGCTGTCGGTGTGTGGGTGGTGGTATATTTTTTCCTTTTTTCCGGATTACAACCCTCCACAGGGTTGTAATCTTGTAATTTTTCCTGCTCAATCAAAATTAACTTTGCAGCGTCTCATGCTAGGCGTTCAAAAAAAAAAAACGTTGAAGGTTGAGGAGGCCATCGGTGTGAGGGTGTCCAGTGTTATCCCAGGAGTGGCCCAAATAGCTGGGCCATCAGTGTCCTTGTAGGCTTCAATTCTTGTAGGCCTTCCTTTGTTCGTGGGCCTATTTTGGAGTGGGCTGTAGCTGTCCGTGTAGGGAGTGAGTGGGCAGAAATCTGATAGTCAAGATTTGGCTGAAATTCATATTCGGCTCACAATTCATGGAACATACGGAGAGGGATGCTTCTCACTGCCATCCATACATTTCTCTTTGCTACTTGACTGATGAACAAATAATTTCTACTTAAATGTTTCTAATCTTAAAAATGAAATTGATATTTTCTAAAATCGTAGGAATTAATGGCGATTCCAGTTCGGTTCTACCGATATGTACAGGGAGATCGCCTTATAATACTTGACGACCTCGCCGCCGTCAATTCCGGACATGCGCGGCGGCGGTTCTTGCACCGGCCTCGGCCTCCGGTGGCCGTGCCGGCGTTGCCGCCTCCACGGCGCGGATGGCGACGGTGACGCTGACACCGTGCTCGACGTCGCCGTCGTCGTTGTCTCCTCCGGTGGCGCAGGAGCATGACGACGTCGACCCCGCCGCCCCTTGCCGCCCGAAGCTCCAGAGCCTTCTCAGTGACCTCAGCCGCGCCAAGCTCGGCGACGACCTCGCCGCCGCGTCGCGCGGGGTCGTCGAAGCCGCGGATTCGGGGATCTCGATCACCAGCGTGCTGCGGCCCTCCGCTGTCATGGTCACCGCGCCGGCGCCATGGTCGGACAGGCCGAGCAGGACGCTCGCCGGGAGGCTCACGGTGTAGCTCGCCGGCGGCTCCGGCGGGACGGGAGGAAGAGGCGGCGGCGGCACGACGACGGTGAGGCGGCAGAGCGGGCAGGTGGAGTGGGAGCCGAGCCACATGTCGACGCACTCGGCGTGGAAGCCGTGGCCGCACCGGGGGAGGAACCTGGCCTCCTCGCCGTCCTCGAGCTCCGCGAGGCACACCGCGCACTCGACGCCGTCGTCGTCCTCCTCCTCCTCCTCCTTCGCCGCCGCCGCCGCCGTGCTGCGGCTGTACACCGTGACCGGCAGCGACCGGAGCACCTCCGGGTCGACCCCTCCTCCCGTTCCACCGTCCCCGCCGCTCCCAGAGCGCCGCCGCGGCCGCGGCCGCCGCCCGCGCCCGCTCGTCGACGTCGTCGTCACGGCGCGGCGCCGCTCGTCGCAGTAGCACTGGAGCAGGACGAAGGCGAGCGTGAGCGCCGCGAAGACGATGAGCACGGCCGCCACGGTGGCGATGCCGCCGGCCGTCATGGCTGCCTGCCCTGCAGGCGCGGACACCGGCGACGGCGACGACGACGACGAAGACTCGTCCATGGCGGGGCCGCCCTGCTCGACACCCCGCACCATAATAATCGACCGTCACATGCATATGTGACCGCGCGCACTCGAGCTCGCGTCGCATATTTATACACACACACACATAGCGGAGTAGTAGGCTAGAGTGGTAGATGGAATGAGACGCGGTGAGATGCGAGCGCAAGCAGAGGCTTCCTGGAAGGGGGATGCGCGCCTGCGGGGCTTGGGCGGCAAGTACTTGTGTTGGTGTTTGCTAGCGCGCGCGCATTCGTCTTCGTCCTCGTCTTCCAAACGAGCTATCAACGTCGTCCGCTGTTGATGTTGATGCAGGCAAAGTGGTGTTTGTGCGTGGGCAACTTCCATTTGGTTTGGGTACCACTACTACAGAACCCAAATAGATGTGCTGGTTCATAACAAACCGG